ATAGCTGTCTTTCGCTCAATTAAGTGGAAATAACAAAGAATCATATTCTTCGCTTGTTCTAGGCCATTACTTATGACACGGTATGTAATAATAAAAAAAATGCAGGTTAAAAACAATTTTATAATAATAATAATAATAATAATCAATGCAATGTGACATTTTGAGACAAGAACATTACATTTTGTTATTGGGATTCTATGAATTATAAAAAAAGAATAGTTCTAGGTATGACGATAAACTACATCAGGCAGCAAGGCCTCTGATCGGGAGATTGGAGGCCTTCAGAAGTGTGGAACTACCTCTTAATTGATCTTGTTCCCAGGTCCAATCTGAATTTGTTAGGGTCCCAGTTACGGGCAAATAGGGAATTCTTAAAAAACAAAACAATATAAAAGTATAAAAATACATTTTTATATAAAAAAAAGCTTACCAATAATACATATTTAAAGTGAAATCACCAACGATGTATATTTAAAGCAAAATGATCAGCAATACATTTTATACCAAAACGACCAAGAAAACATTTTATCTGTAGCTGGAGGCATACAATTGAGTTCAAAATATTTCGATTTCGGCATTAAATAACCCATAGAGGTGTTGATATGCCGTTAAACAAAACCAACCAACCAAGCAATCAAAAGAAGAAAGCAACCCTAAAATACGTGATTTGCAAAAAATCGTACTCATGGGTGCTTCTCGCATCTTTTGTAGGTTTCTCCTCCATGCAGTGAACACAATCACATGCTCTCTTATTTCATGATATCTCTCCTGTTTGCATCTGAACTCGTTGCCTCTTGTTTGTTAGATGATGATGAAGAAGAAGAAGAAGAAGAAGAAGAAGAAGAAGAAGAAGAAGAAGAAGAAGAAGAAGAAGAAGAAATACAGAGATATATAAATAATAAACACATTAAAATAGATTAATATACCTTTTATTGGACTGGTTGACATCATTAATAAGAAAGGTTTGCAATACGAATAACATTGATATTTTTTAAAAATCATTTAATTTCTAGCAAGGCAAAGCCATTGAGGTTACTGAGTGTGAAAGAATAGGAGAAAAAAAAATCGAAAAAAACATTGTCAGTAAGAGTGACCAATAAAAGAATAGGGCTAAAGAAGACAGAAGATAACGATTAATATTATTTAACTTTTTGAAGATCAAAGTTGACTGGAAAGAAAGAAGCCGAAAGAGAGTCCCGCAAGCGAAAAGCGCGAAAGAAGAAATTTAGTTACGGTTACATCAAGCAATTTCAGTTATAAAATGATAAGACCTAGACGCCAATCTAGTACTGCATTTAATTCGTAAAGTCAAGGTACTAAAGAGAAAAGAACACCAGAACAATTATTTGAAAATATTTATTGAAAAAGCACAGGGAAGCTACACTGGGAAAGCGACTGAAGCCAGGTCATGATCAATAACATTGCAAATTATTCTTTGGATTTTATCAAGAATCTCTAAATGCGTTGTAGAAATACCAGACCAGGTATGACAGCAATATTGAATGTGTGGACGAATGGTAGACTTATAAATGTGTAAGATAGATTCTAGCGAGAATAATTGTCTGGAGAAAAAATGTCAACGTAGTGAACCAACTTTCCTAGTAGCAGAACTAGCAATTGATTCAGTATAATGTCAGCATAAAACTTTAGCCCAAGATGGAATAATGAGTCACTCTCCTAGAGGTTAGCATGAGCTATGGTGATGGCAAACAAAAAAAGGTTATCTAAGATGAGTAAAAGAATGAAGTTTCGCTTTGGAGGAAACATGACACTTCTTGCCCCAGTTAACAACATATAATAAACCTCTTTTGACCCCATTTTGATCACCAAGCATTAACCACACCTTGAATAGTCCTATTGACTAGCTTGCAAGCATGATAGTTACGCGTTTGGGGCAACTACATGTGGTGTAAGGGTTAGCAAACTTGTTTCGCTAGAACAGTTACGACTGAGAAGTGAGTTCGATCCTCACTATGTGCCCCATACTTTTAACCTTGTGACAAATCTAAGTTCCGCTTAGAAAATCACCACGGTAGTTAAGCGTTTGTCCCGGGAAACAATACTGGTAAAACCCAGAATCAAGAATGCTGATATTCAGGCTGTCTCTCTCTAGTTGTAAGACTGGCATAACTCTATCTTAGTCTATATTACTGAGATGAGGTATTATGTACACTATTTACATTATTCGGACTATTGTCCTCATCTTTGTCGCCATATTGATTACAACGTTTCGACTTTTGTACGCTCCGGCCTTCTTCAGGTGGTTGGAATGTCGAACTGAACCCTTTATTTCGCTCGCTGAGGTAGATTGTTCTAGTTCCACTCTGCCATGTATTCTTAAGGACACATGGCACAGTGGATAAAGGCGTTGGTTAGATCCAGTGATAGTTCAATACCTGGTTAAGGCAGTGGAGAACTTGGAGAGGTGAATTAACAGGAGATAACTGATGATATCCATTAGACATGGCACGTGGAACTAGAACAGCCTACCCCAGCGAGAAAAATAAAGGTTTCAGTTCGACATTCCAACCACCTGAAGAAGGCTAGAGCGTACAACGGCCGAAACGTTGTGATAAAATATGGCAACAAAGATGAGGACAATAGTCCGAATAATGTAAATAGTGTAGCTCTATCTTTCTTTCACTATTTAGCTTTGTTCCGTACTAAGCTAGGTTTAGTAAATATGAAAAACAAAAATAGTTTTATAAGTCGGCTTAAGAAACGACGTCATTATCAGACGAGCCATCAAAGATACCCCTTGGTGCGCAGCAAAGGTAAACTGAAGAAAAGTGCCTGCATGTAAAGATAGTGAAAAATCGGTCTACGCATGCGTGATTCTCGCGTGTACGGACATATGAAAGTAATGAGTCAGAGGCATTATACGAGAAGAGTTTGTTGTTTAACATCGATCGTACGATAAATTAAAAAAAATATCACTGCTTTTTCGGAAAGACGTCATACTGACGTCAGCCAGTTTGAAGCGAGGTGAATGATAGTATTTGCATCAGCCGGTTGCATAGGGGATACTCAGTCGACCATTAAGAATTGCTACGTTAAGGATGTGGGTGGTGGAGTGTTGACTGGTGCGTTTTCGTAAAAAGGGCATTTCTTGTAAGTAAACATGTTGATGATGGCATTGAAGAAAAAGAAAATGAAGAATACGAAGATTGCAAATGCATTATGGACAAAAAGGTGAGAACCATAAAAAGAAAAGAAGGAAAGTAAGAGAAAGAAAATAAAAACTTTAGCCCAAGAAGGCACAGGTTTATTGTGAAGAAGAGGAAGAAAAATGATGAAAAAACGTTCTACGAAGAAAAGGAAGACATAAAGCTGAATGAATAAAGAGACATATCGATGAAGAAAAGGATTGATTTGTTTTTTATGGTTTATCAACCTGTTTTGTGTTATTTAAAGCAGAAACATATTTTGAATTGTAAAAAAAATAATTCTGTTTTCGTTTTTTTCAGTGAATATACGCATTAAACATTATTAAAACATTATTATCTCAAAAAATAAAATTATAATCTTAAAATGTTTTCTGACTTTAAATAACTTGCAGGGGGTTGATAAGCCATAGAAAATGAATGAATCAATTGAAATCTTTGTCTATTTTTAATCTTTTTGTTTTCTTACACTGGCACTCTCATGGATTTATCACAAATTGCAAGGGAGACAACTGATCAAGGAACATGCCAATTCATGCTTGCTTTGTTCTACTTTTGTTATCTTAATAATAACGAGTAAATAATATGCTGTTATTTTTAATTCAAATATTTTTATTATCGCAAGAATGGTTTCTGAGAATTTAAATAATTTTTAAAATTGCTTGTTCTTAAATTATAACTGATTTTTTGATTGTGGATTGTTTTAAGTTAATATGAATAGCTTTTGAAGTTTGTAATCTTTCTTATTGTATTATCAACAAAGCTGTCTAATGTGATTATAATTTTTGTCTTTCTCTATCATTTGTTACTGTATTGCACTTTGGTCAGACATATAACAAGTCAAGAAACAGCTGTGTCTGTATGTCATATATGTTATTTTTTTTTAATTATTTTCAGAGATATTAGATATGAAAAGTGAATTAGTCTTATTTAGATGATTGGATTTGATTGATCTTTTATCATTGATTGTTCAATTAAAGATTTTAAACTTTTTGTAATAGATAATGAATTATAGATCTTCATGATTATCTTTGAGTTTTATGTATCTGTGGATCACACAGAGTGCGTCAATAAAACCCCTTCTACGTTTTATAGGTTGAAAAAGACAAAAACTAATTTATAAAATTGTTTTAAATTCAGTAAAGTTACACAATTTGTTTTCAATTACCGTATTTGACGGCATATAAGGCACACTTTTTTTTTAACTAAAAATATCTTTTAAAATTTCCCTGCGTCTTATGTGCCATATGTAGGTTTAAAATTCGCGATAATCGGCCGAAATTAGCGATCTGGCAAATATTAGGTGCAATGGAACACGTGGATGGCAATGCCTGATCACAACCTTACAACTACAAGAAGAATTAAAAAAAAACAACAAAAAAAACAGCATTGCATAAGTCTGCGGATGGGTAAAGCAAGCTTGGAATAATATTAGACCAGAAATTGTTGTGAAATCTTTTAAAAAGTGCGGCATTAGCAATGCTCTCAATGGAATGGAAGACGACGCATTATTTAACGACGATGATAGTAGTATTGAAAATGAGTATCAGAGTTTTGATAACGAAAACGACGAATCTTATGGATTTGAAGATTAATAATATTTTAATAATATTTTAATTTAGTACTGTTTTGCACAATTGCACAAATTGCTTGATTCTTTTTTTTTCTTATCTTTGGATATAATAAAGTTTTTTTCTTATCTTTGGATATAATAAAGTTTTTATAGGCTCATGTTCTTTTTTCCTATTATTTTTCGTTAAACGAGTAACCATGGCTTGTTTAACCAAAATAGTACCTCATAAATATAGCCTAGGCTGTACCATTTACTAATAATTTTACTAATTACTAATTTTTATTAATTACTACTTTACTAATTTTTACTAATTACTAATTTACTAATTTTACTAATTACTATTTTTTCTTGATTTTCCCTGCTGAAATTGGGGTGCGTCATATACACCCGTGCGTTGTATATGCCGTCAAGTACGGTACTTTAGGTATTATCCAAATTTTGGAGCCACTGTTGTAGCCGATTTCTGAAGTTTGTGCCATTTCCAGCTATTTCTGTACTTATTCGGCTTATAACATCCCTCAATTCATCAGTTGTTGCTGGTCGATGTTTGTAAACCTCAGTTTCCAGATACTCTTTGAGAAAATAATCATATGAGAAGAAACCAGGTGAGCATGCAGGCCATCCAGCCTCATCGGGGAAAAGGTTCTGATGTCTTGCAAACAGTTCGCGCAAAGCTCCCATTGATCTTTTCGCTCTGTGAACGTTGGTTCCATCCTGTTAAAACCATAAACCCGGATTATCAAAGTTTGTGAGTTTTGGCTTAAGAAAATTACATAATGTGTTCAGATACCGACAGGAATTTGCTGAAACAGTTCGACCTTCCTCATCAACAAAGGAGTAAGTACTCCAAACACTAACATTTGCAACAGTGCACCCCACGAAAACTACTTCGATGTGTAAATGTCTTTCATGAAGATATTTGCGATTGTTTGCCACCCAGTAGCGAAAATACTGCTTATTGACAAAGGCAGACAGATAAAAGGGGTCATCATCTCTTTTAACGAAAACAGAATTTGCTAGAACATTATGAAGGATATAGTTACATTTTTTAGGACACTTCGCCCCAAGCAAGGCGATAATGCCACTAAGATGCAAGGGGTTACTGGGTGTGAAAGAAAATGAAAAGAACTATAGAAGAAACCAGACAGCCAATCCTAAACAGGATAGACCTCTACTCCTGTTCAATAGACGGGGGAGGAGAGTAAACTGGGCAATAGGCGAACTTATTCACACCTATAAAAATGGCGAAATTTTAGCTACATAAAATCACCATTACCACCCCCCTAGCTTCAAAAACAACACACTTGGCTTATGGCTATATCACGTTAAAACACGGGTTCCCGTACAATCACTGAAGTTAAGCAACGTCGATCCTGGACAGTACCTAGATGGATGACCGTTTTGGAATACCAGGTGCTTTAACCTTGGGTGGTGTAATAGATAATGGCTTGGAATTGTTAACCGGAGAGCCGAGTTCCAATACCTGTTGGATTAATTATATTCATTTACACGTAAATACCCTTGGGAAAATATGAATCCACCTCTTCTCCCCCAGCTATGGGTTTATTACTAAGATCTATAAAACCACCATTATTATCTCCCCGCAAAATTCTTACAACCTAAATATATTTTCTGGCTTTAAATAATGTTCAGAGAGTGGATAAGAAAATGAATGAATCAATCAATCAAAGGCTCTCCGCAACTCTCTGTCCCTTGGGGATCTACCCAAAACCCTGTCATTCATTCACAAAATATTTATTAGATATGTTACTCGCCATCAATATGTACTGTAAGTGTCGAATTTCCAGGCCTGCTTTTCTTATTGTGTGTCCTAGAAATTTAAACTGTGTTTCTAATTTCTGATGGTTGGAAGAGGGTTAAGAACCCAACGACATAACGTTTTTTTTACCGATGAGAATCATGGCCATTGGATGTGCTGGTGGTGTAATCAATAATGGCTCAGAATGAGGAATCGGGAAATCAAGTTCGAATTCCAGGTGAGTTGTTTGAATTCACTTGTGCACAAATAATTTTAGCTATAGTATTTACTTCTTCTTACGTATAGAGTTGCAGTAAAAACAAAAAACCAAAAAAAAACCCAAAAAACAAGAGAAATGAAGATGAAATAAATACTAGTAAAAAATGAATAATAATGGACAATGCTTCATCTAAGAAGGCTAACCAGCAGGAATCATTCAAATTTAGCCATATAGCTATATTCTCTACTTCTACTTCTTATGGATGGGAGTTGCAATAAAAAGCAAGAGAAATGAAGATGAAAGAAATACTAGTAAAAAATGAATAATAATTGACAATGCTTCATCAAAGAAGGCTAACCAGCAGGAGTCATTCAAATTTAGCCATATAGTTATATTCTCTACTTCTACTTCTTATGGATGGCAGTTGCAATAAAAAGCAAGAGAAATGAAGATGAAAGAAATACTCGTGAAAAATGAATAATAATTGACAATGCTTCATCCAAGAAGGCTGACCAGCAGAAGTCATTCAAATTTAGCCATATAGTTATATTCTCTACTTCTACTTCTTATGGATGGCAGTTGCAATAAAAAGCAAGAGAAATGAAGATGAAAGAAATACTAATGAAAAATGAATAATAATTGCTATACTTCATCTAAGAAGCCCGACCATCAATAGTCATTCAAATTTAGCCATATAGCTCCGATTAACAATTCCGAGCCATTATCTATATCACCACCCGCACATCCAAGCTTACAGCATCTGGTAATCCCAAGTGATTACCCATCAAGGCACTGACTTAGGTCGACCTTGCTTAACTTTGGTGATCGTATATGAAAACAACTTTGGTGGCAATTTTCCCAAAAATATAGCATTAGAAATCTTTCATCGATACCAAATATAGTTTAGAAAAGACCTTTTTAATTAAAAAATAGTGTGCCAACATGACCTTATACTTTTAAATGTAGTTTTAGTTTAATAAAGGTCCTGAACACAAAAGTATTACTAACTGGACCAAACGCAGAAAGCGAAGTTTAATGATTCCTTGGATGGTGTGCTCGTGCAGGTATGTATATTGATAGAAAAATAAATAAATAAAAATAAATAAATAATAGGAAAAGAAAAAAAAATAACATCTCTTAAAATAGATGGCTAATAAAACTCACCAGGAAAACAATGCCATAGTTCAACCAACCAACAAGAAAGCGTTTACAACGATGATGTCGGACAGGAAAGGACCAAATAATAACAAGGAAACCATGATATAAGGCCGCGAGCCAATGAGAAGCTAGCGGCATTTTTCAAAGCGAATCTTTTGACGTGTATATAAACCATAGTCGATAAATTAATTTTGTCCATTCTGCGGTTATCGTAATATACCCAAAGACGAAGTACAACATTAACACGACTAGCTAGGGACCTTACATGGCGAAACCGTTCCTTGCTACATCGAAAACAAACATACCTTCCTTCACCACCTGGTCAAGCGACGGCTACTACATTTGGATTTAAAGCATCTAAAAATTCCTATACATATTTCATTAATTCTCTTTTATATGCGTCCATAAATACAACCACCATATATGTATGTGTATTGGCTGTAAGAACTATTTATTTGCAATATTATTAATGATATTGGTAATAATGTTTTAACTGATTGTCTAATGCCCAATCTTACAATTCTTTTGCAGTAAAAATTTAGCATAAGGGATTTTTTAAAGTTCTTGAACATGATTTTTTTCAGTTGTTATTTAAACTCCATCCTTCAAATCTATAAATCAACCATCTGTCCTTGCATGGAATATTGCTGTCATATGGTCTGGTGCTCCCGCTGTACATCTCAAGGTCCTCGACAAAAATCCAGAGACGAATATGCAAGATGATAGGTCCTGATCTGGCATCTAATCTACAATCGCTATCCCACAGACGTACTGTGGCCTCCCTCTGTCTCTTCTACAAGTATTTTCACGGCAACTGTTCCGACGAGCTGGTTCCGGACTGTATGAATTTAAGCGAGCTGGCATCTCGATCCCACCCTTTCACTGTCGACATCTGACACCCTGAGTTTGTTCCCCGTCCTTCTCTGTATCCTTTCCTCAAACATGCCTCTTTACTCTTGTTCTCAATCCTCTGTAACCCTTTGCGTTCTAGTGGCACTCCCGCCTTGTCTGGGGTGAACTGCTTAAAAAAAAACTTTGAGCAAGTTTCGGTAATTAATCGGCATGTTGTGCATGGAAATAAAAAACGTGTTAATATCTTTGAGCTCATTATAAAAATAAAAATAGCTGCTATTATTTAAATTACATTGAGCGTGAAGCACATCATTTAGTTCTATGGTTACGAGTTTTGTTTTTCGGTTACAGTTTGCGTTTTTAACTCAATAGATCGTATATAACTGGAATCTTTCACCCAGCTTAAAGTCTACCGGGAGTCTGAAGTGTGGAGTTGAAACCTGACACACGATCAGCCCTAGCGGCGACTGAATACGGGCTGTTGTTGCCCGGCGAAGAGAAATAAACGAGTTGTTCCAAGCCGTATGTACCTTGCCATCTGGTGAACACGGGTAATACGAACTGCTTGTAAGGAATTCCAAATTCCAGGCCTCAAGCTATCGCCTCACATCTCGTATCTCCACTTTTATCCAATATGCACGCCCATTGTAGCCAGAATGTATATTCTAGTCGCAGATAGAAAGGTACAAAAATGATTTTGATAAAGACTTGCATTTTAATAATAGATAAACGAATCGCTGAAAGCGTTCGATCAAAAAGCCTTTGTCTAATTCCTACACACTACTGACCTATGCTTAATCGTACGGCTACTGGAGTGTTTAGATAAAAGAAATTAAAAGATGACTTACACCCCCACACCCTCACCTTCACCCTCTCTTTCTTTATCTCTCTCTTGCTCGCCTGTGGAACTCTTGTCCGGCTTTTTACTTTCCAGACAAGTTTGATCTTCAAAAGTTTAAATGCAACGTCAATCGTTATCTATGGTCTTCGTGATTACCCTTCTATTGTTCTTGCTCCTTTTAATGTTTCTGCTTTCTAATTATTTCACACTCAGACACCCTCATGTTTTAGTAGCTTTACTGCTGTGCTTGGGGTAAATCCGATTCAAAAAACAACATAGACTCGGCCATCCGCTATGAGTAGAATGTCTGCTCCTGGAACAGTGCAAAAATGTGGGTCACAAAGGCGTAACAGACATATTTAATATATATTAAGAAATATACATAATCCGTAACATTGATTGTATAACTCGGAGTTTCATGCCTTCTGCACTCATCAGGTGCGAAGATGCAGAAAATGCAAAAATATGAAACTCCGTGTTAGGCAATCAATGCAACGTATGATGTATATTTTTTATATATATATATATATATATATATATATATATATATATATATATATATATATATATACATTTAAAATATATATATATATATATATATATATATATAAGGTCATCCTATAAGTTCTGTCCGAATTTTGAATAAAGAAAACAAGTGACCAAATGTTACATTTAATTACAGATTCAATCAACAATGTATTTTCCCTGATTATCTATGACTTCCATTCATCTATTAACAAGCTTACTACTTCCATTACTGTAAAATTCTTTTGGCTTTGATTCGAAGAACTCACAAATGTCAGTTTTAACCTCTTCCTGTGTTACAAAAGCTGTTTCTTCCAAATGATTCTGTAAGCTGCAAAATAAATGGTAGTCTGAAGGAGCAAGATCGGGAGAATAAGGTGGATGAGGAATTTTCTCCCAACCAAGTTCTTCGATCTTTTGTGACGTGATTCTTGCTGTGTGGGGTCGCGCATTGTCCTGATGAAACATTACCTCTTTTCGATTCACTAGAGCAGGTCTTTTTTTCCTCAAAGCTTGGTTCAAATGCTCTAATTGCTGACAGTATATTTGAACATTAATTGTTGCATTAGGTGGTAAGAATTCAAAGTGGATTATTCCTTGGCGATCCCACCAGATTGAAAGAAGAACCTTTTGCCCATGAAGTTCCCTTCTCGGCTGTGGCTGGGGTCCTTCCCCTTTACCAAGCCACTGTCTACCTCGCTTAACATTTCGATGAAAGATTCATTTTTCGTCGCCAGTCACAAGTCTATCCAAAAAAAGGGGAAACAACTTGGCGAGAATGGAGAGAAGAGCAGATATCAACTCGGGATTTGAGGTTGTTTTCAGACAATTCATGAGGTACCCATTTTCCAAGGAACTTTTCCAAGTTGTTGAAGATGACGATGAACAGTTGTATGGTTTGAACTGAGAACCATTGCTAATTCCTCAACTGATAAAGCAGGATTTTCTTCATGGGCTGCTTCAAGAAGCTTCTCATCAAACTCAACTGGACGTCCGGTTAGATCTTCATCTTCAAGGGTGAAATCTCCACCTCTGAATTTTGCAAACCATCTTCTGCAAGTTC